CGACTCTTTCATATGATTTAGTTGTGAACTGGAAATAAAAATTGAAGGTCATAGATAGAGCTAAGAAAAAACCGTTTAACTGAAATCTTATTCAGATGTTCATATAAGGCTGAAATAATTAACTTACATGTGGTTTGATATTACTATAAATAACTTACAGTAAACACCTCGTTTTTCTCCAATAATAAGAAAGTCATAGAGAGGTGTGGATACAGGAATCAGTACGCCAGTACCACAGCGAGATGTTCCAGTGACCATGTGCCTGTAGCAGGAACTCTAGACTCTTGGGAGACTTCATACATTTTGGCATGAGAGCACCTTTGGCATCCTATGATACTGAGCATTAATTAGCCTCAACAGAGAAATAAATTAAGTTATGCATGACTACCATACAATTGACAACCTGCATATACTCCGAAGCTACTCCGCTCAAATTCAACCAACATACTATTATACTAACAAACTACAAGAGAGTTATTCTCATGGTGAAATGAGAGAGGTAAAAGACAAGAAACTGGTTTTGAAACTGACAATGTACTACAACTGTGGGCACTTCACATCCATAGAGAAATTTTGATATCCTTAACCTGCAATCTGTGGATCGAACAAGCTTTCACTGAAAATAAGTGTTAATTGGAAAAGACACCACTTGAAATCAAAAGGTTCCTCGAGCTTTCGGATATTATCAAGTGGAACAACCTGAGAGCATCATACAAGTGACAGCCAAAAGATCAATGGAAGTTCAGTGACATTACAGAAGCACATAAGTCAAATTTCTTGTAGTAGAAAACAACATAATACCTTACAGAAAGAGGCCAATTACTCTACAATCAGGATTAGCTGTGCAAATCTACAAAAGCCGGTGAGTTAAAACTTAGCTACATGCCCAATTACTCTACAATCAGGATTAGGTGTGCAAATCTACATAAGCCGGTGAGTTAAAACTTAGCTACATGCCCACCAAAACCATCACAAGAAAGATATAGTAATGCATACATAGTTTGGGAGTACTAGATTCAATAGCTGGTGATTTAACGGGTTTTCACATGTAGGAGCAGTAATATCCATCGCAGTAGATCTGAAAACAATGTCAGACTATGTAAGCAGCATTCATGAATATTCAATTGGGGTATACAGAAAATTACAAATATATTTATGATTCAGACAAGAGAACATATAAGATCCCTCGGTCCTAGAACATATGTTACACAGCGGAATAGTTATGAAGTTCTACCTAAAAGACAAGAGAACAGATTATACTTTGACAACTGTACCGTGTAATAAGCTCACTGGAATTGATATTCCATTGAAGAACACATGTTTTGTAGTTCTCAATTAGGATACAAAAGATCTAATGGTCTGTCCTGCAAAAGATGGGCGGTCGCTTAAGAGAAATATTATAAACTAAGAATTACAAAAGATAGAAGATGTATGTTCACACAAGGATGAAACAGTTCTAGAGAAACAATACGCTTATTGATAGGAACATCGCTTATGAGCTGCACAAGAATTTGAATATTTTTATGAATAAATGGGACTGTGACAAGAACAATTCAAATCGCTACTATGCATGTAGTACCTCAATTCCATCAGAGTTAATTTTGTGAATTTCAAGTCGATTGCATTTACTGAACCAAAGACCAACATATATAAATGAGATATACCATAAAGTTCAAAAATTAAAGAACCAAGAAAGGGATAGAGATTCTTACGCAAGCACAAGATTGCTATACTCCATGCTAGTAAAGTTACCCACACATTAGTGTGTAACGTTGCTGGGCTTGTGAGAGGAGACCACATAGTTCATTTTTCTCATCTTAGAAAAAACGACGCGTGAAATCATTTAGATACACTGATAGAAACATTCAATCAAAAAAGTTTAGAGCATCTCAAAGTCCACTCCACCAGATCCTAAACAATAAGATAACACTCGATTACAGTTTGACTCACTATGGAACACGAAATACCTATGAAAAACTGAAAACAAGCTCGTCAAGGTGAATAGAGATGCCGATGACACTATTCCTTGTGAGTATCCAGCTAAAAATCAGTGATTGATAGAGAAATCGACGATGAATTTGGAGAAGAAAGCCTTAGCGGGAACAAACTATTTTTGTTCCATATTATCAAAATATACAACATGCACAGTTTATGTACAGACCGACTCTAGGTTAACCAAAGATATTAAACCAAACACATCTAATTGGTTTATAGAAATATCAGTGAACAAAACCTATACTTTCTTATGCAATTGAGGAGAAGTTTTATCCCTTAAAACTGCATCATTATAAGCAAATTATAAGCAAATTATATTTTGACAGCTGTGCCTTGTAATAAGCTCATTGGAATTGACATTCCATTGAAGAACACATGTTTTGTAGTTCTCAGTTAGGATGAACAAAATATCTAGTCGTCCGTCCTGCAAAAGATGGACAGCCACTTAAGAGAAATATTATAAACTAACTAAGGATTACATAAGGTAGAAGATGTATGCTCACACGAGGATGAAACAGTACCAGAGAATCGATACGCCCATTGATAAGAACATCGCTTATGAGCTGCACAAGAATTTGAATATCTTCATGAATAAATGGGACTGTGACAAGAACAATTCAAATCGCTACTATGCATGTAATATCTCAATTCTATCAAAGGTAATTTGGTGAATTTCAAGTCGAATTGCATTTACTGAACCAAAGATCAACATATATATGTAGATATGCCTTAAAGTTCAAAAAATGAAGAACCAAAAAATGGATAGAGATTCTTACGAAAGCAAAAGAATGCTATACTCCATGTTAGTAGAGTTACCCACACATGAGAGGATAACGTTGTTGGGCTTGTGAGAGGTGACCACATATTTCAGCTTTCTCATCTTAAAAAAAAACGAAGCGAGAATTCATTTAGATACACTGATCGAAACATTCAGTCAAAAAAGTTCAAAGCATCTCAAAATGCACTCAACCAGATCCTAAACAACAGGATAACACTTGATTACAGTTCGATTCCAGTGAACAAAACCTATACTTTCTTACGCAAATTGAGGATAAGATACCTTCTTTTTCTTCTTCTTTTGTTTATGTTCACTCACTCTCTTTCCGCTTTCTATCCTTTTATTTCTTCTAAATTTTGTTTATTATTTTCGAACATAATTCCACTATTAGTTTTTGTTTTCGCTTTTCACTATGACTTTAATCCAAACTCTCTAAATTCATAATCGTTATAATTATGTATTTTATTTTATTTTGAATTAGTGGATTTTTTTTCTTTTTTTAATCAAATAAATTTGGTTTTGTAAATTTGATATAGATTATAATTTGAGATTATAGAATAATATTGTTTACATTATCAAATTATATAGCTAATCAGAATATAGGTTTATTCAAAACAACTTTTTTTATATACTATGTAGACAATATTCGCTTTCGTTAGCCGTTTATAGGTTTTATTTATAGTGGTTGTCAAAAAAGATTCATTTAGAGATTTAATGACTTATACTCCTTAATACCTTAAAACTGCATCATTATAAGCAAAGTATAAACAAATTATATTTTGACAGCTGTACCATATAATAAGCTCATTGTAATTGACATTCCATTGAAGAACATATGTTTTGTAGTTCTCAGTTAGGATGAACAAAAGATCTAGTGGTCTGTTCTGCAAAAGATGGGCAGTCTCTTAAGAAAAATATTATAAACTAACTAAGGATTACAAAAGACAGAAGATGTATGCTCACACGAGGTTGAAACAGTTCCAAAGAAACGATACGCCCATTGATAGGAACATCGCTTGTGAGCTGCACAAGAATTTGAATGTATTTATGAATAAATTGGACTGTGACAAGAACAATTCAAATCGCTACTATGCATGTAGTACCACAATTCCATCAGAGGTAATATGGTGAAGTTCAAGTCGATTGCATTTACTGAATCAAAGATGAACATATATATATACATGAGATATGCCTTAAAGTTCAAAAAATGAAGAACCAAAAAATGGATAGAGATTCTTATGCAAGCAAAAGATTGCTATACTCCATGTTAGTAAAGTTACCCACACATGAGTGTGTAACATTGCTGGGCTTGTGAGAGGTGACCACATAGTTCATCTTTCTCATCTTAAAAAAAAAAAGCGAGAACTCATTTAGATACACTGATAGAAACATTCAGTCAAAAAAATTCAGAGCATCTCGAAGTCCACTCAACCAGATCCTAAACAATAGGATAACACTCGATTACAGTTCGATTCACTGTGGAACACAAAATATCTGCGAAACCTGAGGAGCTGAGCAAAGAGTTTGGTGAAATCGCACACCAAAAAGGTGAAAAAAGCTCGTCGGTGAATAGAGATGCCGATGCAACTATTCCATATTAGTATTCGGCGAAAAATTGGTGATTGATAGAGAAATCGACGATGAATTTGGAGAAGAAAGCCTTAGCGGGAACAAACTATTTTTGTTTCCATATTATCAAAATATACAACATGCATACTTTATGTATAGACTCTAGGTTAACCAATATGTTGAACCAAACGCATCTAATTGGTTTATTAAATACCAGTGAACAAAACATGTACTTTCTTATGCAAATCGAGGAGAAGATACCTTCTTTTTTCTTCTTCTTTTGTTTATGTTCACTCACTCTCTTTCTGCTTTCAATCGTTTTATTTCTTCTAAATTTTGTTTATTATTTTTGGACATAATTCCACTATTAGTTTTTTTGTTTTCGCTTTTGTTTATTATTTTTGGACATAATTCCACTATTAGTTTTAGGTTTCACAAAGAGTTCATAATTTCATGGAAGGGTTTTGCGAGGCAATTCCCCGGAGGAGCAGAGAGATCCAAATGGTAATCAAGACACGAATAGAGTCAAGGACAAACAAAGATATCATATAACATTCTTAATAATGGTTGGAAGTCTTGGACATAAATTTGAAATTTTGGGTTTTGTCAAATGTCACAATGCATTATATGTATACATAGTTATTCGATAGTTTGTGTAGGTGGAAGCAGAGAAGTTGTTTCAGACTATTCATAGCCCTGAAGACTGGCCAAGACTTGAAGGTAGATGTATTAGAGAACAAATTGTTGAAACTTAACCGAACTAGGCCAATAAACAAGTACTTCTTGAAACGAACTACCACAACATTTCAGCTTTATACCCCCGATTAAAAGAAAAGAATGAAAGAATAATATTAAACTCATCACACAACTTCTAAAAAATGAAGTAGAAGAAAAACAATTTGAACTTTTGGTTCAATTAGAGCAAGGCAACTTCAATTACAGTTAAAAAAAAAAAAAAAAAATATCAGAATCCCAAAAACCCTCTATGGTTTAAAGATTGGGTCTACTATAACCTTGACCGGTTTTTTTAATCCTCCCCAACTCCATTTCATGGGTGGTTTGGCCCTCACTGCTCGAACCAGACGGGTACAATCCATAGTCACTGGTTGGATTACTATACTCCCCGGTCGTGTTGTACTCTTGAGTTCCAGGTCCCATTTTCCTAAACTTCTTCATGTCATTATTGTACTGGCTCGACTCATAATCAGTGCTTTCTCCATATGAGCTGTATACATTGCTGTGACCCGGTCTCACCCCTTCGTTAAGATCTGACAGTGATACGTTTCCTTCTAACGCACGTACAATCTGCTCATCATTCACTCCATCAGTATAACTAACATATATACTTAAATATAAAACAGACTTGAGATGTATGTTACCTGGCTCATGCGAGGTCTGCGGCTAGCTGAATGGCGAACACAAGCAGCAGCACAAGCAACCATACGAGCCATCTCCTCTCTGTCATACTCATTATTCATCTTTGTATCAGCCAAACCCTCAAAGTCTCCTTGCTCAGATGCCCTGTTAAGCAATGGTCGTGCCCAGTCAACTATGCTGTCATCAACATAGGCATTTTTTTTATCAACAGGTTGACGCCCTGTTATGAGCTCCAAAAGCACAACACCAAATGAGAAAACGTCAGACTTCTCAGTGAGCTTCCCGCTTGCAGCGTATTCAGGAGCCAAGTACCCAATGGTTCCCATCACACGTGTAGATACATGAGTGTTTGTATCAGAAGCAATCTTTGCAAGACCAAAGTCAGCAACCTGAAAGACACAGAACAAAACTGCAGTAACCAAACATACAAAAACACATCTAATAAAAATAGATCATAACCTTAGCTTCAAACTTGAAATCCATCAGTATGTTTGCAGCCTTGATATCACGGTGAATGATCTTGGGATTACAATCTTCATGAAGATACGAAAGTCCTTTAGCAGATCCAAGAGCAATCTTCAACCTCGTACGCCACTCCATTGTAGGCCGTCCTTTCCCTATAATTAACCATCACTCTAATTATGTTGGCAAAATGTAATAAAAAACATATACGAGAATATTATTTTGTGGTTTACCATGGAGGTGAAACTGGAGATTGTTGTTAGGAACATACTCATAGACAAGCAATCTTTTCGCACCAGCGATGCAATAACCGACGAGAGACACCAAATGCCTGTGGTGAATTCTGCTAATGATCTCAACCTCAGCCTGAAACTCTCTCTCTCCCTGACCACTCCCAACTTTCAACTGTTTCACAGCAACTACTTTCCCACCAGGTAATATACCTTTGTGCACGTAACCGAACCCGCCTTGTCCTAGCAAATTAGCCTCAGAGAAGCCATTGGTGGCTCTTGCTAGCTCCTCGTAAGTGAATGTGCTTTTTGAGAAGCCTAACACAAGGCCTGGAGATGGTGGAGGACGAATTGGAAGACCCGAGTACTCAGAGCCGTCGCTGCTGCTCATGAAAGGCGGTGGGGGTGGTGGTGGTGGTGGTGGAGATGGAGGCTTAGGTGGTGGTGGAAGTGACATCACAATGTGATTTGACGGTGGTGGTTGTTGCTGTCCACCATAAGGTGCTCCAGCTGAGAAATACAAGACCGTTTTTAAGAGATTTAAACTTTTTTAACAAATTCAAATCTTTCGGACAAAATCTGAAATAAGACAATTAGCATGCAAAGTTGACACAAGATTCCATTTTAATGTTTAACCTTTGAGACCAGAAGGAGGGGGACTAGGAGGATAGTAAGCAGCTTCATAGTCTCTTCGTCGTTTCTTCTTACAAAGGAGACAAATCAGAGACAGTATCACAAGCAGAGCGACTCCTCCGATGGCGATTCCAACTACCACTCCTGTTGATATTCCATCGGAAGAAGGAGAAGGCGAAGGTGGAGTTCTAGGATGAGACGGTGGTCCTGAGCCTGGAGATGGAGGGACTCTAGGGGTGGATCTAGGAGGAGGAAGATGAGGAGGTGCTGGCGGAGACGGCTCGGGAGGAGGTGGAGAAGATCCCGGAGGAGTTGGACGAGGGGTTAGAGACGGAGGAGGAACAGAAGGTGGCGAGGGAGAAGACGGAGGAGGAGATGTCGAATTAGTGGATGGCGGCACAGGAGAAGAAGGGGGTGTGATGGGAGGAGGAGCGGAACCTGGAGGAGGAGTGGTGGTTGTGGAGTTTGGCGGAGAAGGGGGCGGAGTAATCGCAGGAGACGGCGCGGAGGACATTTTTGGTTCTGATCTGATCAAAAAGGCTAAGGAAGAGAGAATCTGTTGCACCGAGACAAGAGGGAGTTAATTGAGTTCAAAGTTAAATCTTTTTGTTTTCGAAGGGAATGATTTTTTTCGGACAACGGAGATGTCATAGGGTCCCACGCGATTCATCCGCGTCTGTTTCTTTTCCACGTTAATATTATTATGGCCCTAATTGGTAACCTACGGAACGGCAGAATTACATTAAAAATGCGATTCCACAAAATAAATTACAAATCAGAAATAATTTGTTAAATAAAATAAAAAGTGCAAAAAAAATTTGTGTTGTTAACAAAAATACAAAGTAATTTCATCAACTGAAAAATTGAGATTTTATTAGATTTCTTGTGGAATCAGTTTGGGTTTCCATATATATATTAATGAATTTTAAATTATTACATAAATAATTATTGTTTACTTATTTTATCACATGATCATGAAATTTTTGATTATAATAATTAATTTAATTATTAATATTTAATAATTTATATTAATAACTATTATTGTTTATTAATGTTTATTAATTTTGTTAAAGACTAAATTATGTATCAGATTTTAATTTTTAATATAATTTATAAACTACGAAATAATTTATATAAATAATATGAAAATATTTGGTAGTTTTCATTCAACAGAATCTTAAAAAAGTAGTATCTGAATTCATTTTCTATATTTAAATTATTTTTCTTTTTGATTTTTGAGTTGTCCAATATTTCTGTTTTTTTTCCCACAAGACTGCGAGTTTTTCTGATAAATATTTTGGAAGTTAAAATACTTATTATAAATAGTCTTAAATAGTTATATATTTTTTTTTTGTTCAAAAACTAGCACACAAAGCTAACTATTTAATTTTCATGATAATTATACAACTTTCATAAATATATCAAATAATAAAATAAAGAAATGATTTCAAATAAAATGTGAGAATTGTTTTTGATTTTTTTTTCTGAATTTTTTCTCGAAAGATCTTTCATTACATAAAGAAACAATTTAGAAAAAGATTCGTCTTGAAAAAAAAGTTTGGAGAGACCTTCCTGGATATAGAACTAGAAATCTTCTTCTTGCTCCAAAGCAAAGGAACCAGCGGGAGTGCATGTGCTACACGTACACGAAGCACAAATTCAAGGCCGCCTATTACATTGACGTTCCCCCTAATTTATTATTTTATATTCTAAAATCAAGTTACACCAAAATCCTCTATATATTAAAAGAGAAACATTTAAAAAATTGTAACCTCAATTTTGTAATAATTAAAAAAGACCTCATGCTTAGGTGTCGCTCAATTAGATAGTCAATTAGATTCAATTAGATTCAATTGAAAAATAAGTAGGTCCACCTTCTCGCTAGATATATTCATTGGCCAAACTATATGATATGATGATATGATATGATATTTACCATAGAAGCATTTATCATTGTTTCCCTAGATATAATTACTATTTTATTTACTTTCCTTAAATAAAACCTACGGAATTACCATAAATGACTAATATATATATGACAATTAATGATTCTAATAATAAATATTTGATAACAATTTATATCACCTCCATCATTTTTTCTTTAATTTTATATTAAAATAAATTAAACAATCAAATTAGATATAAAATTAAAATTTAGATTTTTTCGTATATTTTAAATTTTAAATTTTACAAAACGAGAATAAATGACTAAAACTATTAAAATTATTATGTTAAAATTTAATGATCAATAGTTTAACATTTTTATTATAAAAAGATATACATCTTATATATTAAAACAGAAGTCACAACCTAGATTCATGTGTGATTTTTTTTAAAAAATGGACTATTCCTTAAGAAGAATATGAAGATTATCAAATGTTACATAATTTAATGATAATATCTTTAAATATCTTTATTTTTCTATTTGAAATACAAATGAAATAAATCCAACAAAATCTTTTTGACATCTTTTTAAATTGTATTTCCATAATATTATCCCATATATTTATCTTTTATTTGAAATACAAATGTTTTTGTTTAAGATATTAAAATTTATCTAGATAGCATTATATATTCCTAAATCCTAAATAAAAAACTATATATTAGAGTTTAACCCACACAATTTTTTTTTATTTTTATAAATATAACACTTTGATAGTATTATAAAAAAAAATTAAATATATGATTTACATTTGATGTTATATATTATATAACTCTATAATTTAGTTGTTTAAGTTTTTTATTCTTCATTATTAATATATAGTAATTTTTTATATATTTTAATTTACATTCTTATTGATTGTTATTAATAAAAAATATATTTTTGAGTTTGATACATAAATTATAATTTAAAATAATTAAATTATAATCTTCTTTAATATAGAGTTTTAATTTCTGGAATTTGCATACAATACATTTTAAATTTTATTTAGATACACTATCGATAAATATTTGTTAGTGATAATTTATATTTTTTTGTTGTGTTTAAAAATGATACTTTTACATCTATTATTTTAGTATTTTGCACGATTTTATAAGTAAATATATTGTTATTTATTGATAATTTTTTTATAAATTATAAATAAAAAGAAAATCCGCAGGGTTGTGCGGGGTCGAGATCTAGTGAATTTTAAACCATATGAGTAAAAAGTATCATTCAATAATAAAACAAATATATATATATAGATTAAACTATATACCATATAAGATTACATAAATATTTTAATTTCAAAAATTTCAATGAATTTTCAAAAACATTTATAAATTATATACTTATTAAATTTTTCACATTGAATTTTTTTGTTATCAATGATTTAAATGTCTTAGTTATTTTGTTTTCTAATTTTATATTATTAAAATACATTAAACAATCGATAATATGTTTTTTGGTATATATCATACAAATCGAATGGATGTGATTTTATAAAAACTGTAGGATTTGGATATGGTTTGATTTATAACCGATTAAACTGAAACATATATATATGTATATATTTAACGACGCATGAATATCTATTTGTTACATGAGTTGAACTATAATTACAATTTCTAAATCACGTGAATCACTTGAACTATAATTAACTAACAATTTACTGCAACTGAGGTTTCTTATTTTCTTAATTTTGTTTTTATTTTTATTGCTTTATTTTAACAGTAACTAAATCGAAGTAAAGATTATAAATTTGATGGAAAACAATTAGTTGAAATTCTTAACATTTTTATTTATTTTTAAACAAACACAGTTGTGTTCATCCGAAGACATATTAATTTGAAGAACACTACTAAATATGGAAGAATATAAAATCTTTTCTTCCAATTTGTTTTGTTTTTTTTTATTTTATTTTCAAAATTTAGAACTTTGATAGTAATTTCAGACTTCATCATTTTATTAGATGATAGAAGCCTTTTTTTAAATATAATTTTTTTATTAATAAATGACTTTTTGACAATATGATTCTAAATGTGATCATATTATATATTTGTATAATATATCATATGATCTCAAACTAAATAATTATGTTTTTGGTATAAAATTGAATAAATTGAAAACCGATGGTATATAAACCAAATCAAACCGAAGTAAATATGGATTTAAAATAGTAATTATATTTTAATAAACAAAATACCAAAAAATCGAACCGAAGTAAAACCCGATATACGGATTGAACACCCTTAATCCGAATGAACCGAACTATTGTTTATTTTTCCAAACCATAATAAAAATAACAACTTCATCCCGCGCAAAGCGCGGGTCTTATCCTAGTAATCCATTAAAAGTGAAAAAAACGAATAATTGTTATAATCCTTATATTGAATGGACCATAACTATAGATTAGATCCTAGGCCCATACGACCCATTATATATATAAGCGGCCAAAAGTCTTGTTTCTTTTTCCTTGTAATGGTTGTTTTCCTGATCCTAATTGGTTTAGAATTTGTGTACTTTCCATTTATCCATTTCTTGTAATCCATATACATATAGAGAGCTTTATGATCAATAACAATACATCATTTACACACAATTTTCTCTCTGATTTATTACACGTTATCATCACGAATTATCTCTCAAAACCCTAGCTAAAATCCGACCAAAAGAAACCCCAGCACAGCCGCCGTCTCTTTTTTTTTTTCCGGCGAAGCCCCACCGCAAAAGCCCTAGACTTTTTCCTTTTCTCAGCGAGCACCAGTCCAGCCACCTCCTTGGTCTTTCCTTTCCTCGACCAAGGAACCCTAATTTGCAATCGACCAGCCGCTCTTTTGGTTCTTCCAATTCCATCACAAACCTAGTACCCGAAGAACCCTAATCCGCGATCTACATCAAACCCGACCAAGTTCTTCAGCGATCCGTTCCAGTACCCGATCAATCTCAACCACGAAGAACCCTAATCTGATTCCGACCACGATCCGGTTAGTTCCAATCCAAGCACAAGGTGGTCCGGTTCTACACACCAATCTAAGGTAATCCAATTAATCTCTCTAAAACCTAAAGAACCTAAAACCCTAATAAGAAACCC